GTTTTGACATGCGTTCTACACATGCGCACGCTGCAGGTGTTAAGGAGGACAGACCAATACTAAGCTTTGAGCGTCGTCTAACTGGGATAGTCTGTTGTAATATGGTCTAGCCTGCTGTAGTTTAGTTCCTGTTCAGTTCTTTTCACAATTATGTCTTTAATTTGATCGCACAAGTGTCCGTTTTCGTCACCGACCGTGTCCAGTAAATCAAAAGCCTTTTTCATCCCTGGATGCTCCATTTTGTCTGTTGAAAAGACATAAATATTCATATTATGCAGGACACAAAAGGTTTTGCAAACCAAATATGCTCTAGCAATGCTACTTAACCATAGAAACGAGTCTGCTTAAATCTCGCGCCGCTAGAAATCATAATCTCATAAACAATGGTACGTAAAATTTAAAAAGTTTCAATTTTATTTTTTGGCTAGACGATGGATGTTGTTGAGGCACATCCACTGTTTTTTTATGCGAGACTCTCTTTCGTAGTTTGAAAAAGAAGGGAATGGGGAGAGGGGTTGCGCTGACCTTCCTTTCCCCCCATCAGTTCTCGTTACGAAAAACGACAAATCAGGGACGGGGGTAAGCGCCTTTGCTTCCCAGCCCTGCGTCGGACACGCGGCCTTTCCTGTGCCTGACAAGCGGCCGGTCCTGTACCGAACATGCGCCCATCCTAGTGCCGAACAAACAGCCACTCCAGTTCCGGACACGCGGCCTCTTCTGTGCTGAGCACGCTGCCTCTCCTGTGTCGGACATGCGGCCTCTCTTGTACCGGCATGCGGCCTCTCCGTGACGGGCACACGGCCGCCCTAGTGCACGACGGCGGCTCGTGCACCAGACACGCGGCCTCTCCTGAGCCAGACACGCGGCCCTCCTATGCCGGACACGCGGCCTTTCCTGTGTGAGACACGCGGCCATCCTGTGCCGGACACGCGGCCTCTCCTGTGCCGGACACGCGACCTTTCCTGTGCCGGATGGCTGCTCCTGTCGGACACGCGGCCCCTCCTGTGCCGGACGCCGGCCCGCTCCTTTGACGGACATTCGACAGTTCCAGAATATGAATTAACGACGCCCCAGTGAGCGGCTCACCGCTGCCGCAGTAAGGTGCTGGTGCCGCACGCTCTGCTAAAGCGCGTTCGCCACATTTTTGTTTTTACCAATTATTGTTCGATCAGATGCTTCGATCGTCCGATTTGATCGGTAATGACAGCTTTCTCGAAATTTCTCTGATAGCTTACAATTTCTATCTTAGGTGACCACTCCTGCGGCGGAAATCTCTTTGGACTCCGTGCTCACCAGCATGAAAGGAATATGATGTAGAGCATTATGATAGTACGCCATGGACTAATGCAACAAGTATTTCAAGCCTTGCTCTATCTGTCATGAATTCGAGATGTGATCGTCAGGTCCTAGGTTCACAACTGGAACATGTGATGAGCTGTAACCGAACATACCCAAAACAGTCGTTCCACGAGTGGCGCTGCTATCAGAATTGTTGCGAAACTGCCCTTAGCGATGGGTTGTTCTAGATCACGACGTCATGGTGATCAACTCATCATAATCTCGATGATTTAAACCGGACCATCGGGACGCTATGCTGGTGAGGTTGCAATGGACAGCACAGGCAGCCTGGGTATTTAAACAGTTATAACCTTTTCTGTTTCGATATCGCTCGCCATTGAGGGCCGATGGGGATAAGATTGGTATATGCGCTACACCGACATCTCCGATGACTCCTGGGAATCGAACTATTTCGAAGAGAGTCCTTTTGCAATATCTTCTCTCGTGGCTGGAAGTTCAAGGTGATGTGAGCAGAGTTAGGCGATTGCGTTCATGCATTTGTAAACTTCCCTGCCTGCTGTAGTCCTGACCACGCCAACGCAGTCGCCTATAACTTTATGAAAAGTCCAAGTTCGCAAGAAGCGTAAAACAATCCGACTATGTACGGTGGGTGACAAAACAGTTGGCTGCACTATTGCTATTAAGCTCCGCGATCAAATTGAACAGTTTCTGCACACACTTCTTGATCATAGGTTTTTGTTTTGCGAACATACGTCGGCATCGTCACATACCAATGGGGCAGGTGTTGACCGCAGCCCGTACGGCCTCCGTACCCGATTGCCATTCTCCATACGCCTCCTTCCTGCGCCCACTATACACATCAGCAGCTCTACAGTGACTGATTGGCACTTACGAACCCGAGATTCCTGCTATGGCTTTGGACAAAAGTGTGAGCCTCCGCACGCGGACGATTGTTGCTTGGCAAACAGCCAGCTCACAGTTGTTCGTGACCGGCCTCTTAGTGTTGTCTGTTATGTAGGCATTTAAACCTTATTTGCGAAAGCTAGCGTGTAACCAAGCGTGCGTTATATGTGCGGATAGGCACCTCACCAAACTCACCGGCCATCTAGGCGCGAATACGGCGTCTTAATATGTTCACCCTGAAAGGCATGTGTACGAATAAGGCGTCTTAATATGTTCACTCTAAAAGGCGTGTGTACGAATAAGGCGTCTTAATATGTTCACTCTAAAAGGCATGTGCACGAATGAGGCGTCTTAATATGTTCACTCTCAAAGGCATGTGCACATCACCAGGCTAGGACGATAGTCCGAACAATTTTTCCATCCGTGATGGTGATACCTCGTCTCTATTCTCCCGTAAAACCGTAAATGAGGCTTATTCTGCCGTCCAAAGGTAAAACCTCCTATGTTAATTTCTGTCCACATTGCGCTTTTTATGTCATTTGATTCGCCTTTTCGTGCTAAATTCAGATATTCAAACTAAAATTCGAAATTTGTACAAGCTTTTGGCTAAAAGAATGGGCTAAAAGATTGTGAAAGTTTGAACTTATCGTTTTAGTCACCACATTCAGCATGAGTAGATGAATCAGACAACGTAAAAACTAAAACGGCCAAAAATTAATATATGGGGTTTTACCGTTGGACGGCAGTGTTTGCGGACTTATGTACGTTATCTGAAATTACCACGGGACATTCGGGTGCAGTTATAGAGTTCCTGTTCCTCTTCCCAGTCGAGTCCGAGCGGTGCCTTATAAGCATAGGACGGGGCTGGTAGAGCACTTCACGGCTGTAGTTTTCAGGATTCGGCCCGGTCCGGTCCGGTTAGTCCAGTCCAATCCGCTCACCGATCGACTTTTTCCTCGTGTTTCAGTTCGACCCGATTCGGTCCGACTTGTCCGAAAAATGGACCAATCAAATCCATGCCAATCCACTTCCACTTAACAAATTTGTGTGATCAGCAAACTCGATTTATTCGAGTGCCTTAATTTTAGATATTGTAAATTTTCATTGGCAACAAATTGCGCAATCATTTGACATCAACCAATGGGTGCTGAGATACTTAACACACCTTGCCGCCTGTTGGGAATGCGATTCCGCGCGAATATCGGAATTAACAAGGCTCGTCATAATATCAATCATATCGCAATTATTCTGGTCAGTACCTCATAAGTGTCAACCCATCGCAGGGCCAAAATTGCTTCTGGTTGAAATGATAAAATGCATGGGGACATTACCAAACTTTTTGGCCTCCCGGTGAGGTGCAATATATCTACACATGCCGCTCGGATGCTACAGCGGAACCCAGTTCATAGGTGCCGGATGGCGCCCAGTACTTTTTCTGAACAAATAAAACGACTGTCTGACCACATATATGATATTTGATGCGTATATCCGTAATCGGGCACACTTACTGGTGAAGCAAACTCAACTGAAACAATTATTTTCTGCTTGCCTACCGGCCGCGCCACAATAATGGTCAACGCGCGCGATTATCCGCTGGTGGGTGCCTTTGGTTCCTCTGTCTCATGTCCAGGAGAATGAAAGGGTTGTGTCATTTTTGAAAAGCATTATTAAAATGTCGCATGCTACCAGATCTCCCCGTTTTCTCATGCTGGCAAGACCCGAAGCCAGTTTTATTTGCAACTGTGCATCGCACAGCTGCATGAATTCACATGTACGCAGTTTAAGACTACTTTTACGACACATAGTCGCTTTCTATCCGTCAAATTGCATTCAGCACGCTAGGAGCACAACAGATACTTTATGAGATGCTTTATTTGCCCTTGACAGGCATGGCCTGCGGCTGGTGGCAGCGATTGTCCTAAAGGCCAGCTGACGTCAGAGGGCAGGACGAACCTTGCTGACCATCGCGGGACGTTAAACTTTCGCCACCAAATTCTGCCGTTGCCCGGAATTGCGCGATCGGACGGCAGGGGTCAGAGCTCACACGGTAAGCACTGCTTAGCGTGAGCTCTGATCCCAGAAAACCATTCATTCAAAGGGTCAGATCAAATGTTTCAAAAAAGATGGTGCGGCGATCAAGGCGAGGCATTGTGTTTAGCGTATCACGACCCGGCAGTGCCTCAGATACAAATATTGAATCAACCCATACGTGGGGCGGGCCCTGGCGGGAAGGGCGCCATCGCGAGGAATCGAACCTCATATCTCGGGTTTCCCAGACAGCGCAACGGTAAACGCAGCCGCGCCAACCACTGGAGTATCGGCACGCTCCAATGAGCTTGCTGGCAAGATCACAAAAGTGCTAATTTTTTATTATAAAATGGATAAGTAGATCGTCAAAATCTCACTTACCCTGGAAGGAATACAAGATTCGGTTTTACATGGCAGGACATGAGTGTCCATCATTAACATTTAGCAAAGTAATCTGCTCATGAGAAAATTTGTTTGCGGGCTATTTGGCTGAGCTGTATACTATAAAGCCTGTTTGTGCATTGCTTGGAACGAAAACTTTTGCATGTTGTTGGTTTACGGGGTTTTCTGAGTTAATATCTCCATTGATTATTTCAGGGACTATTAGTGATTATTTTCATTCAATTTTTCATTTCGTTTAATCTGTCCGAGCTGGCAAAATTAAACATCCTGTCGCCCCTAACCCGTCTTCAATCCCAGTCCTAATCCGAGGCCTGTTTTCTAAAAGACATCGCAACGCTGGCGCTAGATCAATACGGTCTGTCTCCCACCTGCAGTATCCTGGGGTGTCGGTACCGCTCCAGCTGTTTGACGCTCGCACGCAGCAGCTCAGTCACCGTTTCCCGGCGTTTAGGCTTGTGCAGCTTCTCGGCGCATTTCTTCTCGAACACGAAGATGGAAACTTCCTGTAACAAATAGCAGTTGCGCCTCAGCTACTATCACTTAACGGAGCTTCCGCGAACGTCCCAGGTAAAAGACAAAGTAGCCTTCTCTCGCACGTCTGACGACCGGCACCTTAGGCGGGCTGTGAGACACGGCTGCATGAATGTCGTAGTTGCTAGGCCCACTGCTGGTAGTGGTGATCTGGTGTTTTACGGCGCGTCACCCACACTATGAGGTCATGAAAAAAGGGTCACGCATAGCAAAACGAGCTGATGTTTACTAGCGTTTATCAATTGTTACAGCTGACTGAAAATGCGGATACAGCTCATGAGAGTTCTTTCTCGGCTGCGAAACGAATATTGAAGACGCTGACGATAGCAGAACACACTACTAGATCAACCTGGCTGCGATATGTTAAGAGCTTCCAGCATACCAACATCTTCCCTGCATTGAGTGAACGACTCACAAGTGGAATCGCCTCGTACGCACGCACTCACGTGCACGCGCACACGCACACACATGCACGCCGCGCACGATGCATCCTGTGCCTATTTTCGTGACCTGCTGCGCAGTTAACCCCTTTCCGTGGCTGTTCCTGAAAATCTTGTCGTTCGTATGAGATACGGCTCGCTATTGATTCCAAAATATAAGGCCAACCATTGATTCCACCCTCAGCCAACTTTGGTCTCGCAGCGCCCAGAGCGATCCGATGAATGGCTGGTGCGGCGATATTGCCCACGCACGGGCGGGCTGTCCGCCGGCTCGATATAGCTCGCACGGCTCGTCGGCCGACGGACGCCCGTGTTCAAAGGCGATTGATAATGCGGACGCGGCGCGATCCCTTCTGCCGATTATTCAAAGTTTCCTCATCAGCGGGCAGAGGTTCGCGCCGCCGGCGGTGTCCAGCTATGACCGCGAGCGTCGCCGCGGACTCGAACCGACGTCAGCGCGTCTCTCGTCCGCGCTCTCCCAGCGCGACTGAATGAACCAGGAGCTTTTGATGGGCGGCCGATCAAGGGCTTTGACCGGAGGTCGGCCACGGGGCAAACTGCGCAAGGTGCGTCAGCATCTGCGTGGTTTTCTCTTGAACCGCTATAGCGTTGCTTGTTGCACAGTACATCGCATTTTATTTCCGCACATGCTGTCAGTGGAGCGTTGCAGTTCGGCGATCACGAGATGAGCACGTGATGGGCTGAGGCTCGGCGTGGTGGACTGAGGCTCGGCGTGATGGGCTGAGGCTCGGCGTGGTGGGCTGAGGTTCGGCGTGGTGGACTGAGGCTCGGCGTGGTGGACTGAGGCTCGGCGTGGAAGACTGAGGCTCGGCGTGGTGGGCTGAGGCTCGGCGTGGTGGACTGAGGCTCGGCGTGGTGGGCTGAGGTTCGGCGTGGTGGACTGAGGCTCGGCGTGGAAGACTGAGGCTCGGCGTGGAAGACTGAGGCTCGGCGTGGTGGGCTGAGGCTCGGCGTGGTGGACTGAGGCTCGGCGTGGTGGACTGAGGCTCGGCGTGGTGGACTGAGGCTCGGCATGGTGGACTGAGGCTCGGCCACCATTCGACGACGGGCGGGCCGGCGGCGCGAGCCCTCGGTCGGAAGCCTTGGGTGGCGCCGCATGCCCACATTCCGGTCACTGAGTGCAGGTATAATAGATACTGCAGCGGCGCGGATGACCAGTGCCCCTCCCCCCCTCGTAATGGTCTGGCAATATCCGGCGGCTGCCAGTGAGCGGCGCCCGACAGCGCCGCGCCGGCCTGTCGGCTGCCGGCCCCCAGCGGCGCCGGGTACGCCGACCCGTCCATCGCGCTGTCGGAGTGTCACACTCTGGGGGTGCTGGGTCCAGCCGCCCCCGGTAACTCCAGCCGACCATCAGCAGCGCCCAGGGTCTTCGACGGGAAAGGTCAGGTCGTACCCGGGAACCTCAGTGGTGTGGTCTCCGGTGCTCAGGGGCCAGCTGGGAAATGGGAGCGTCAGTTGTAACTAGACAGGACCTCTTATTGTTGAGGACAGATGCATTTGGGTTTCCAAATGGAGCAGCGTGGATGTGTCCAGAAACACCAGGGCTGTGGCCAGTGATGGGGCCAACGGGAGCGTAAACCGTACCTAGGATCCTCAATACTGCAGTTGACAGTGCCCAGGCTCTTGCAGGGAAGTGAACTCCGCGCGGAGGCTCCAGTGCCCCAGGTGCCAACTAATGAGAAAATGCGCTGTACCCAGCTACCTCAGAGCTGGGACCAAGATACCAAGTACCTCGGTAGAGAATAATAGCATGGTCAGCTCTACACAGGAATGCTGCTGCTGATGCAGAGCGAGTAACAAGCTCTGGAATTACTGGCAGCGCACGTTTGAGATGAACACGTCGTTGGTGTCATCACATCTCACGTCGGTTGTTGCTTTGGGCCATGTAGGCGATTTGATGGTCGCCGCCCACATCCTCCACCTCTCCACCTCTAGGACGGAAACCTGTATTCAAGATCACAAACTGAGTACCGTATGTCACCCCAGGTTACAGTGCATACCTAGCTAGTGTTCCATGATCAAAGTCAAACCGCTCGGCTCACAGTACGCTCACATCGCGTTCCAATCAACCCCAACCCACCAAAAACCTGGAATAAAACATTATTTATCGCTGCAGACGCCGTAAATGCAAAACGTCATGCGTGCGTACGCTTCGTACGCGTCGCACGCTGTCCAAACGTGAAAACTGAAGATAGACATGGTTTTTTTTATTATGGTCGACTCTGGACTCACTGCAGCGGGTTCTCGAGAACAACATTTTGGTTTGCAACCGTCGATGACCGTTTGCACAAACTCTTCGATGCATTCAAGTCCAACATTCGCATTGTTCAACTGGTGTATGAGTTTACGAAACAGATTGTTTGTCGATTGTTTTTTCATGACCATGAAAATCCCACCTTTTGGATGTATTCTCAACAACGCACATAACTCTCTCAGGCCACAAGCGTTTGTCAGCGCGTGACTTAGGCCGTATCTACTTGCAGGCCAAGCCGTCTACCGCTATTGGGCGCCTGTGGCATGAAGTAATATTATTTTTAGTTTTATAGCTTAAATTAGTTAGGCAATTTATTCCTCTGATTTCAAGAAAAAGCTAGCGAGTGTGGACCACCGGACCGGCACACTGTGCTCCCATTCACACATTTCTTCTCATTTTGTTTACCCTGTCTGTATCCTTTTCGAATAAGAACAGAACGAATAAGAAACGAAAAAGAAAAAAATGATAAAATAAATCCACTTATAACCTATGATGTACTGTTAAGTGAAAAAGGTTTTTCTAGACAGCGCGCTTACCCTATTAAATCATGCTTCTCAACAGCTGTTCATTGATGGCGTCATGGAACGTTTGTATGACGTTAAGATGCTGCCAAACTAGCCGCGCCAAATCGCCACCATAGCATCCGAAGCTTTTCAAACTCGTCGAGAGATGGTAGTGGCGGAGCAGGAAGCGTTTGCCGAGCCAAATGCCTTCAGTTGCTCGTGTGTTGGTCCTTTCACGTAGTTTCCTTGCGTATTCAGCAGTGTGTTTAATAGGCTTACTTGTATTCACATATCGGCTTTGGCGCTTTTATTTGGGTCATCGATTACGGGTCTTGTTTCCGCAAAACTAGCAATCATGTTCAGCTTCTTATGCCATGTAGCACAAAACGTGATTCGTCATAGAACCGATCCGTCCCTCTTATCCTCCATCTTGCTTCATCCTGCATCCGCGTGATACCCCGCTTGTCCGGGGCGGGCTGCGCGCGTCAGCCACGAGTGGGCCGAGAGCCCCGTGGGAAGGGGGACCCCGACCGGGTACCCACGCATGCGCGGGTTAAAGCTCGGCGGTTGGCCCCCCAGGCGCGTGCACGTCTGTCCCATCGTTAACCATTTTCCTTCATCCCATAGCCCTGAAATGATCATTTCTGGTCGAAAGGGCTCTAATCCAAAAACCAAAAACCATCGTCATAGAGTCATCCGACTCCCTGTATCCCATCCCATCTCTTGCTTCATGCTACATCCTGCGCTTGCTCGGAGCAGGCCTCTTGCGCCAGCCACGAGTGGGCCGTGAGTCCCCTGCAGGGGTACCCCGACCGGGCGCCCGGTGCACACACCGCAGAGGGGTCCCTGCGCGGGTTAAGGCTTAGCGGTTGGCCGCTCAGGTGCCCGTGGTCCTGCCCCACCGTTGTTCATTCTTTCACATCATATCCCTGGAATGATTATTACTGGTCGAAAGGCTCTTATCCAAATAAGCAAATATGCAAACCGTGATCGAAACTTGCACAGCTTGGTCAACATTGCTTGTCAGACAATGGACGTCCACTTTATTTGAGAATCGTGCTCACGGGCACATGTGAACGGCTCGACAATAACATTCTTTCTGAGCTTGAGCGCCGAATGACATATGAGGTGGCAGTATTTGAATGGCGTTGCAATGGCGTCATGCATGCCTGAATGACATTGAAATAGTCTAAGCAAAAAAGCCTGCATATCATTGCGTTCGTGTAGTTCAGAAACTAAAGGGTTTTAGGTCTTAAGAAGGGCAGGCTATGAGCTGCACCGAGTGGCCTTCAAAACGACCCACTTAAGTTCAAAACCCCACTCAGATGCGGATCACTACTTTAACGACTATATGATTGAAAGTTAGCTGAATGAGGATGCGGCTAAATCTTTCAGGATCATTCCCAAGCAAGGTTGTATTATTGCGTATCAATGTACCAAAAGGCATTGCAGTTAAGGGAGTGTTCTACATTTGTATGGGCCTTGAACTGAAATAAGCATCTTGAAGATCATTCGGCTCAGTTAACAGCCCTGTCTTTTTTTAAGACCCAAACCCTTCTAGTTTCTGGACAACACGCCCGCGGAGATAAACAGTTTGTCAAGGAGGCTATTTCAAGGTCACCCAAGCATCAATGACGCCATAATAGCGTCGTCCAAATCCTGCCATTTCAGTGGTCATTCGGCGCTAAAAATTTAGAAAAATGTAATTTTGAATTCGTTTCTATCTGGCCTTCGTGAGCACGATTTCCAAATAC